AGTGTTGAATCAGCCCCTACAAATACCAGTTTGCAGTGTAACTGAGGACACAGAGAAGCACCAGTGTGACACAATCATCATAAACTGAGCAACCTGGGCTGGTGGGAAATGCCAATGGGATGATCTTTGAGGCCCCTTCAAACCCAAACCATTCCATGATTCTGTAGGAGCAGGGAAAGTGTTCCCCATAATCTCTGGAACCCACAGATTCCTCTTTGAACCTCCTCAAATCCCTTCCAGTCTCAATTATTTCAAGATTCTGAAAATCAACCACCTCATGGCTCATGTGAACTCCGTCTTCAGCAGTGCCTGGGTTTGGAGGAGCAGGTTTGGGTTTCAGGAGTGAATAATGGATTAATTTTAAAGGTACCCAGCTGCCTAAAGATGCATTTTACAACCTTACTATGTCTGGATAATCAATTCCCCTAATTCAGTTTTTCCCCAGTGCAATAACCATTAGAAACTCAGCCCTTACCCAGGGGAGACTGCAGAAATCTCCAAACTCTCACTTTGCTGCTGTCTGGAGATGCCTCAGCACCCCCAATTCCTCAACTAAACCCCTCTGGATGCCTCTTATTTCAGTGCTGAATTTGGTAACTAATTCCTAAACCCTAATGATCTCATATTGATTACAGTGGGAACAAAACACTCAGATTTATGGAAGATCCCCAGATGGAATCCCAGAATGGTTTGGGCTGGAAGAACATCAAAGCCCAACTCATCCCACCCCTGCCATGGCAGGGACACCTTCCACTATGTCAGGGTGTTACAAACCCTGTCCAGCCTGGCCTTGGGCACTGCCAGGGATCCAGGGCAGCCCCAGCTGCTCTGGGCACCTGTGCCAGGGCCTCAGAACCCTCACAGGGAGGAATTAATGCCAAATATTTGATCTAAACCTCCTCTCTGTCAGTTTGAAGCCCCAAACTGCCTTTCCAATCAGCATTTTGCTACTGCACAGGAACATAATTTTGTTTTCAGTGGTACTTATAGGGCATTATTGATCAAAATGCTTAGGCAGCGCCACAAACTGAGAATTAATCCTAGACAGTCCTGTCCCATTCCACGGTTAGCTGCTCACGCGACCCCTAACGCTGGAGCCATATCCCGTATCACCGGCGGGTGGTCTCACAGGGGGTTCGCCCCATCCACATTCAGGAATTGCTGATGATGCTGTGCACCAGGTTATTCATTAATCCAAAAGCAATCTTGGTGGATTCTTCTGTTTGCAGTTTGGTAAGCAGGGCAAACAGGAGAGAGAGATAGGGATAGGGGAATTGACGAGCTAAGCATGATCAGAGCTAATAATGTCAAACTGACCCTAAGAGCCGTGCCAGTGTCAAACTGACCCTAAGAGCCGTGCCAGTGTCAAACTGACCCTAAGAGCCGTGCCAAGCCATGGGAACCAAGCCAACTACACCGGGAATTGGCCATATTAGGATAGGAGTTCAAAGGTTTAAAGAGGAAGACTCATCAGAAGACCCTTGCCCGCGATGAAGGCAACCGGAAGGACCACCAAGATAATCCTCAAAAGAGATGTCCCCGCCCATGCTCCGCCTACACCACGCCTCTTATGAATATGCATGCAAAGACATGATTATGTATGTGATATGATGTAACCCTGCACCCAAGACTGTATAAAAGCTTGCTTCTGTTATGAGATATTTAGAAATCCCTTTTGTGATTTCTCCGGCGCGTCGTAATAAAATACCTCCTGTCTATGCTGACTTAAATTGAGTCTCTTAGGCAGTTATTCTCGCCTTTTGGGGCAAAATTCGGCATCAAGTTCCATCTAAATTCTGCATCCCACATCAGCCCCAGATGTTCCCCTCTGGTGCAGCTGTGCAGCCCCCAGCCCTGGATTGCCAAATTTCCCCCTTCCAAGAGCTCAGGATTTCCCAATTCTGATGACCTGAGGTTAAAACCAGACCTTCCTCCCCAGCTACAGCACCACATGGCCCAACTCACTGCCTGTCTATCCAGCAAACTAACTGTCAAAAATTGAGAAATATGGGGTTGAGTGGATTTTGGAGTGTGGAAAAACCCCAAATCCATCAGTTAAGGCCATTAGCTCATGTGACACACCTCGCTAAAGTCAATTTTCAAGGATAAGCGTGTGACAAGCTGACTGGAGGAATTCTCCTTTAATGCATTATTAATTCATTTATTATTACAGTTATTATAATCTTTATGCAGGGCACTGAAGTTTAATTTGTTCTCTATGAGCTAATCTTTTTAATGAGCCCTTTCTTCTCCTCAGGTTGGGAGCTTCCTCAACCACTTATGCAGCTTTTAAGCAAGTAGAAAATGACAGGACCATGTACCCTCCTCATAAACACAGCTTCACATACCATGCCCTGAATTTTAAATGAAAATGAACGATTACCAACTTTCCTACTGCTAAATATCTTTTAAAAGGTTTCAGATTTTAAAAGCTTTCAGAAAGGAAAAGATTCACCAATAACGCTCTAAATATAGGGAGTTCATCACACAATGAAATCTTAATTACGATTCCTCTCTCTGACAAAGAGGAGAAATGCATTTAAATAAAAAGCCCCTGTGTGAGTAAATGCAGTTATTTGTGGGGCAGCAGAGATTAATCCAGCCTGGAGCCCCATCTGAATGGCTCTGGGTTCATTCTCTGGTCATTCAGGGCAAGGAGGTCACAGGGCTGATCCCTGCCCTGGGAAATGGGTTCAGACAGAGAGGAAAAGGCACAAAAACACACAAATGGTGCTTGGAGCTGGGATGCAAAGGGGAAAAACACTCAAATTCCAAACACCCACACTGCAGGCACAGCCAGGCCCCAGCTCTAAGGGCTGCAGCACTTTGGGACACCCTGGAATCCAAAAACCACGTGGATGTGGCACTTGGGGACTTGGGGACATGGCTGAGCGGTGGCCTCAGCAGTGCTGCAGCACTCAGTCAGATCTAATGGCCCTAAAGGTCTTGTCAAACTTCAATGATTTTGTGATTCCATGATCAAGTCTGCACCTGGAATGCTGTGCCTGCATGGCCAGAGTTCATCCCTGGAAATGGAACAGCTCATGGGACACCATGAGCTTGGGGATAAAAGGTGGCAGAAGGTTCTGGAGGTGTGCAAGAAGAAACAACACAGACTGGCCCTCAAGAAAACAGAATAAATCCTTCAGGGGAATGTTTGAGGGATAAAAGGTAGGAGAAGGTTTTGGAGATGTGCAAGAAGAAACAAGGATTGTTTCTAAGGAAAACAGAATAAATCCTTGAGGAGAAGGTTTGGGGGATAAAAGGTAGGAGAAGATTTTGGAGATGTGCAAGAAGAAACAACAAAGGTTGTCCCCCAAGAAAAACAGGATAAATCCTTCAGGAGAAGGTTTGGGGAAAAAAAGGCAGAAGGTTCTGGAGGTGTCCAAGAAGAAACAAAGATTGTCCACTAAGAAAAACAGAATAAATCCTTAAGGAGAAGGTGTGAGGGAAAAAAGGTAGAAGGTTCTGGAGGTGTGCAAGAAGAAGCAACAGAGATTGTCCACTAAGAAAAACAGAGTAAATCCCTCTTCTTTTTCATTCATACCCAAAAACCAGCCAGCTTTTCATGGTGGCCTTTCCAGCTGGATGGGCTTGAAAGAGGGAAAGTTTATCAGTTAGCTCACAAGCACTTCTCCCACAATGAGATAAATGAAAATATAACCAGATTTTATGGAGATCTGGACTTACACAGCAGCTGGATCCCACTGCCTGCCTGATTAGCTGGGGTTAATCAGAAATTAGTAAATTATTTTCTGCTTGGAACAATTGCTGGTTGTAATGGAAAAAAATCCATTTATTAGTGGGTATATGAAAAGAATTTTTTTTAAACAATAATAATCCTAAAACCTTTTAAATGCTATTCAGACAAACTACATTTTGTCAATAACTTTATCATTCTGATTTTTACAACCCATCAAAGTTCACAAAATTAAATTCAGCAGCAGATACATAAGAAACCTGCTCTCTACAGTAGTCAAGGCCAGCGAACTGAACACAAAATCCTAAGAAATGGCAGCTCAAAAGGAAGTTATGGTGTAAATAATTCCCATTATAGGCAAAGCTTTCACCTTGAAGCTCCTGTTAGTAAAAGTCCATGGGAAATGCACATATTGGTAGCCAAGACTCCCTTTCTAGCAGCCACAAACAGAAAGAAAACAGAATTACAGAAGGGTTGGTTTGGTTGGTTTTTTTTTTTTTTTCTTTTTTCTGAATAGGATTTAAAAATAGCTAAATAAACAGACAGAACCCCCTTGCCAGTGTGATTATTTCCTCCAGGCACATCTCCCTCCAGGAAGGGCCCATGGGCACTGAAATCCCATGGAAACAAACTGTCCTGGAGAAGCCCAAGCCATAAATAACCCCAGGGCTCCAAAGGCTTTTTTCCCTGGGAACAGTTGCTGGCAGTGCCACCATCAAGCCCCTGCTCTTCCGCTATTTCTCTTCAAACTTTTAGGAAATCCAAGGAAATCCATCCAGCCCTTCCCTGCCCTGAGAGCAGAATGGGACACTGACCTTGAAATAATCAGGGTAGAATGACCACAGCACCTTTTTCTCCAGAGCTGAGGGGTGTTTTTTTAAATGTAAAATCACAATTTCCTCACCAATTAGTTGGTACAACAGGATAAAGCCTGGCTTGGGGCTCAGCTCCACACGCAATAACAAATGAATGTTTGCTTGAGCTGCAAAAAGAGAAGACAAACAAGCTCCATCTGACCTGGGAGCTGTCAGGCTCTGAAAGCATGTCCACACCCTCCAGGGAATTAAAATCACAGGGAAGCATTCCAGAGCCTGCCTACCTGCACAAACACATACACACACACGTGTTTGTGCTTTTATAAAGAGATTTCTCCAGACAGAAATGGTATCAAACAAGCCCAAAATTATTAAAATGACTTTAACTGTCATCATTCAGACAGAGAGGCAAATCAAAGCGACATCCAAAACATTTAATTGAAAAGAAAAATATTGTATTAAAAAGAAAAATTTGCATTTCTAACCAGTACATGGGGCTGTTTCCTCATCAGTGCATGGTCAGGCTGTAGTTCTACATCTGAATCCTTCTCCCCACTTTACTGCATCTAGAAATAAAGAAAGAGTTGTGAGTTGTGTAATGGCATGTCATATGTTCAATTTATCTAAAACCAGCACCTTTATCAGTACAATTCCTTTGCTTTATTTTTTTCCCCTGTATGCTGAGTTTCTGTCTGATCTCATTCTCCTTGCCCTTCATTTACCTGGAAAAGGAGAGGTTTTCCATGTTTAAATAACAGAAGCAACATACCCCATGGAATAGAGGAAAAAGTGGGCTGAAGTGAGAAGATCTGATTTTTATTCCAAACCTGGTTTGTGGCCTTGGAACAAGGCACTTTTCTGCACATTTCCCCTCTCTTGCTTTGCCTTTCTTGTCTGCTTACATTGCAAGCTCTCTGAAGCCTGTTAGGTGTTTATACAGCACCAAACAGATAAGATTCAGCTTTCCTCAGAATCACAAGATAACACGAACCCAGAAACAATAAATCTTATCAATCACCACCTACACTATTGCTCTCCTAACATGAAACACGTTTCAAAGTGATTTTCAATAGTTACCTTCCTTTAAAGGAAAAGAAATAAAAACAGCTTGTGGGAGAGAAGTGCATCCAAGAGGAAACAGATCCCTTAACTGTTTGTTTGGGTTTTTTCCCAATACATTCCACCTGTTTTAAACACATTGACCAAAAGCTGTAATTCTGTATTTTACTACAAGGACAGGACTCATCTCTGGCATTGACCTCGATATTCCCATTTAGAGCTGGGTTACAGGATGCTCCACAGGGTGCTGGGAGCAGCAAAAGCCTGGAAAATATTTTGGAGCTCTAATCCCACTTTTCCTGCTCTCCCAAATGTTACAGCTCACACAGTGCAAACGCCACACCAATCCCTGTGGGCAGAAGGAGCACACAAACACCATTTTGGCCTGGTTTTACCTCTCTGGGTCACCTTTAAAAGTGATTTTCTTTCCAACCTCTCCGTGTGAATGACAAGATATTCAGAGAGTCTTGAGGGAGAAGAAGTGATAAAGAGGAATTCATCTAACCTATTTTATTTCTTGTCACTGCTTGATAATCTCTTTATCTGCTCTCATCTCACCAGGTGCAGACAGAGTTATTTATTTCCCCATGGACGGGGCCAATCCCTCTCCCAAAGTGCCCACGTGCACCTGGATTTCCTTTCCCAGAGTGTTTCAAATCCATATTGCAAAGTGCCCCTGATCTTTCGGGGTAAGCAGAGCCAACCTCAGCACACACAGATGCAAACACATAAAATGTCAGTGCTTATTGGCACACACAGCTTTGGCTTTTCAGGGAGCTTCTGTGGCCATGGGCACACAGGGAACATTTGCAAGAATCTCCCCATCAACAGAAGTTTGCAGTTGCACTGAAACACAACTCACTAGCACATATATTTTACAGTTTGACCCCTCTGTCGATAAATTATGGTTTTGGTGTGAACACAAAACATTTTCTAAAGCTCCGTGGTGATTCAGGAACCGCAGCTCTACTTTCAGCTGCACCTTAATCCTTCTTGACTCCTATTGAGGCTTCAGCCCAGCGATGTTTGCTGTGCTGCTGGCACCGCACCCGGCCTTTCAGAGAGCCTGCACCTCCCCAGAGCAATGTGACTGCAATTTGTAATGCCAAATGCAAATCTCCTCAGGCACAGCCTGTGCCAGCTGGGCACGGCCCAGCCCAGCTCTGCCAGCCTGGCCCAAGCTTTGCGAGACATGCCTGGGCTGGAAAAGAGAGCAAACCCCAACCCAGCCCTGAGCAGAATCACCAGGGCTGCAAAGCAGAGTGGAAAAATCCTTCTGCCACCAAGCAGGGCAGGACAGAGGCCATTTTCAGGGTTTCAGTTTGTCACAGGGCTGGATTTGGGGGGTTCAGGACAAGATGCTCTTATTACATCAGGGCCAGGCTTCCTGCCATTGCTCTGCCCCCTGTTAGCTCTGGATTAAGCCAATTCTCCTGCAATTGATTAAAAGCTCTCCCCTGCCGTGGACATCTTGTCATGAAAATCCTTTCCTTATGATTTTTCCTCCTGAGAAGCTGAGAGGTCTCAGGAACAAAATGCAAACAATGGTTATCTGCTGCTGTGGAATGCAACAGGTGCATCTGGGACTGGTCTCATGTGGTTGTTTCTAATTAATGGCCAATCACAGTCAGCTGGCTCAGACTCTCAGCCCAAGCCACAAACTTTTGTTATCGTTCTTTTCCTTTCTATTCTTAGCTTAGCTAGCCCTCTGAGATGAAACCTTTTCTTCTATTCTTTTAGTATAGTTTTAATGTAATATATATTATAAAATAATAAATCAGCCTTCTGAACATGGAGTCAGATCCTCATCTCTTCCCTCAACGTGAGACCCCTGTGAACACCGTCACACTCCTCCAAATTAAAAAAAAATCTCCTGTTTGTTTATAGACATAGGAAGAAAAAGAAGAAATTCAGCACTATTTCAACCTGAGATTCTGAGGGAGGAGGAAATGATGATTTGTATCTCCCCCTCCTCCCATTTTTTAATCTCTCTCAGAAATCACAGCAGAGAACAGTAACTCAAATGCTTTATAGCTGAATTCATTTCCATCAGCTGTCTCCTATCTTTACCAGTTGTTTGTCTGCTTCTCCCATTTATGCTGTGCAGCTTGGACTTATCGATCTTGTAAGCTTTAAATTACAGCTATCCATGGAAAAAAAAAAAAGAAAAAGGCAAGAGGAAAACCACAACAGGAAAAAGCAGGCCTGATAAAGGATTTCTGAAGGGCTGCTCACTTTTGCTAAAAGAAAATCTTAATGGCATTTCCTGGAGAGAAGGTCTGTGGGGCTGAAGTTATTAGTGGACTGTATGGACAGAGGACAGGCAAAAAAAGCTGTCAGATTGAAGGGTTTATATCAAAAACATTTCCAGTGAAAAGTGTAGGAAAACTTGTGGGGGAAAAATACAAGATTTATACAAGTATCAATCAGCTGATTTATAGCACTGGTTTTAATAGACCCAGCCAATTTACAGCAGGTCTTGTGGTTTCAGGCTGAGTTTAAA